TTTAGACACAGCATGATCTGGCAAATAATACCCTTCTCTGGTGTTGGTGTCGTTTGCGACTTCGATGAAACTGTTAACAAGTTGTTGTATTTTATTTCATAGTACAGTTTCAAGGGGGCAGGTTTTTCCTCGGTTTAGTAATTTGTGCATTAAACTGGTTATAGGCAAAATTATAATTGGTTGCTAGGGTTTTGTGGTTAATTTTCCTCGGAAACCTTATTGACTATCCTTGTATTGCACTGTGACCAGGTATTGCTGGTATGTACGTGTGTCGTCTGAACTTCGTTGTTTTAGAAAAAATCCTATGGTGTCAAGATCCCATAAATTATGGACTAGGAGATCGAGACCATTATCAATTATATGACTGATTTCTAGTGGTGACTATTCTTGGCTTATTCGCATAACTATTATTGTATATGAATGTTCTTGCTCCACAAGAGATGACTTCTTAAGATGCAACACTAGCCCAGTCAGTGATTCGCCTCCAGCGGATTTGAGCAAGTTCATCCCCAGTGTGGTTTGTTGTCCAGTGATGCAATTATGACAATAATCCGCTCCCACTAGGATACCTATATCTAACATGTGATTGGAATTTATCTTTGGATATGCTAGATGACGTCTTTTATTTAAGGAATTGGATCAAGGCTCCAAGACCATGTAAATACATGTCACAAGTAATTTTCTCCAACACGATAGCTTGAAATAGTCTGGTGTACCTATTCAGAGGAACAAGAGGTTTAACTGCTTGGTATGTCTGGGGTCCTGTATTTGTTAAGAATCCTGATATGTTTAATGTAACCTGATCTACAGGTTTCAGCTCAGGATCTTCCGCTAATTGTTTCATTATAAAAGTCCTCTGGGAATCCTGATCAATCAAACCTCAGGTATGGATCTTGGTTCTTGTGTCGACTAAAAACTGTTTGTTACGAACCCAATTCCATCGTCGGAGCACGGAGCAGCGACGTCAACGCCATCAGTGAGTCCGCTCCCGAAACCCCCACAACTTCGACGACGCCATCTAGTGGTGAAAGGATTATACCAGCAAGAGGCGCTAGATTCCTGTCCTAGTCAGCTCGAGAGGTAGCTGGTGCTGACCTCTGGTGAGGTGGTGCCTAGAAAATCAGCGCCATCTTTTATAGGAGGAGTTGTATGTCTATGCCAGAGTACGTAAGTGATGTTTCCTAGTGTCCCATGTACTGACCAGTGTACTGATGACGTGTCTGTATCCACAGAGTCAACGTAGGGCTGCTGTGGTACGAGGACAGTCAGTCTACCCAGGGCAGCCAATATCTCTCGACTCCATTCTGCTTTACGGAAGCAGTGAGCCGCCGCCGGAGAAGAACTGTGTAGTGTTCTACTGTGTGCTTGTGACGTGGCAGTGACAGAATTCGGCGTACCCGGGACTGGCTAGCGGAAGCGACGACTGACAGTAAGGTGCTACGGAGTAGTGTAACCAGCGAGTTGCAAGAAGCTCCTGCCAGGGGTTCGCTACCCTTGTAGTTGTTCGCGAAGATGCCCAGCAGCGCGAGGCTCATGTTCTCTGCCAGCTCCAGGCTGGAGAGTGATTGTGGGCGTGCACGAAGAGCACCTAGTGAGACTGTGTTTTGGCTGGCCCGTGGCCAGGGTAGACTCGTTGGTGTTTCCCAGGACTGGTTGAGGATAGTACTGTGTGTTGAGGAAACACGGTAGCTGACAAGACTGCATCGATTGAGCATCGAGAAATGCTTAGTGTCCTATGAGAGAAACACTTGTGTACATATTAGGTGTAGTAATACTTCATTTAGGATTATATATGAGGTGGTGGGAAAGTGATTATATGTGAATATATTGATAATTGATGAAGTGTCATATTCGATGCACCTCCCCCATTGTGTTTTATTTGCATTACCGAGCTTACTTCTTGAAAGCCACTACTAACTTGGGGCTGGATACCAGTACTTTAGTTCCACCAGCAAAGAACCCAGTTGCGACCCATTGTGGCTGTAACACTATCATAGGAGGATAAGGATGAAGTTTTAAGTATTAAGCAAAATATTAGGTATTAAGTAATTTCATGTAATATTTGTGAGTACTTTCAATGTCTACATCTTCATTGCAGATGATTGATGGATATAGTCATCAATAACTAATGTATATTATTGTATATGTCAAAATATACTTGGTAAACATAATATTAGTGTATGAGGTTTTACGCATAGTTGCCTACAATGTGATCACCATAGGTAATTGAACTGTGGACTGATTGTGGCTCACTGTGGATCAAGGCAAAGCCAGATACCACACTGGAGAGGGGGGGGGGGGCTATCAGGCTATGCCTGGGTCTCGGGTCTCTATACTTCCTTTCCCACTCCCCCTCTATCCTAGTCTCCAACCTATCACATCTCTTTCCCTCCCCCCCCCTTCTCATTTCTCCCCTTGTGACGATGTCAACGCCATCTGTTGAGAGCACCCGTCTCCATTTTTAGTTCCACGATCGATGGTTATGATCTTACTGACACCTGTGTAATTTCAAACAAGTAGGCCAAGTCGGTGAGACTGTGATGTGTCTGTGATAAATCCTCTCCACCTTTCTTGCTTCCTCTTCTCTACCCTCTCTCCCAATCACCCATCTCTCATATTTCACACACACAAGTCTTCCCCTCCCACTCTCAACAACCTGTCTTCCCCCTTTCTCCTTCCCTCTCCTTCTCCCAGTCTGTGTTGTTGTCTGTGTTGTTTTTTTTGTTTATTTTCCTGTCTCTTTGCCCAGGTTGACCCAGCGTCTCTGTACATCTAATTTTGGATGTATGTATCTGTCTGTCACTATATGTCTCTGTCTCTCTCTCTCTCTTTGTAACTATCTCTGAATCTCTCTCTCTCTCTCTCTCTCTCTCTCTCTCTCTCTCTCTCTCTCTCTCTCTCTCTCTCTCTCTCTCTCTCTCTCTCTCTCTCTCTCTCTCTCTCGTTCCATCCGAAAAAACATAATATACTAGTCCACCATTGGCGCGTGGGAGATCTGAGAGAAAGAGGTGGGATTTAAACCTTAGAAGTTGTGGGAGGATTGTCTGTTTTATGATAATAAGGCCAAAGTATAAATGGTGTACATCCCTTGGACTGAGCACTTGTTAATAGCTGACATTCCCTTGCACATAACACAAAAAAAATCCGAAATTGTTTTTTCTTTTGACAGTGTTACTTAGCATCCAGGGAGCATAAAAATTCAAGTTAAAAGTCATTACCTCTTATGGCCCAAAGAAGTTGCATTATTTTATTAGGAATAATGAGGCGAGGTTTTGCATGGGAATAATGAGGCGAGGTGTTGCATGGGAATAATCAGGTGAGGGGTTGCATTGGAATAATGAGGCGAGGTGTTGCATGGGATTAACTTTGTCCACTTACTTTCATTATTTCTCACTTAGATTTTATGCTAGCAGGTTGTATTGATGTCACAGATGGTGTTCATTATGTGTAGCTGAACGCACATCATGTATTTTTTCATTGTGTGAAAAATAACAATATACATATATGTGTGTGTGTGTGTGTGTGTGTATATATATATATATATATATATATATATATATATATATATATATAAAGTTTGTGAGGGTACCACCTCTGGTGCCAATGTGGGGACCCATAGCCTCGGAGAAGAAAATAAAAAGTATTCAGAGGAGACCTTGTGGTTTCTCACTGAACACTAATATTATCTTCTCCTACCACCCCCCCATTCTTTTGTATGTACACATATATATTTACTTTATTTGAACTTCGTTACAAAAAAAGGAGTTACATATGGGTTACAAAGATGGTTGTCATAGGTTGTCGAGTTCCTCCAGCTCCTCAGATGGCGGGCAGGAACCCCGCCTGAATGGTCCCCAGGACTATTAGCGACTGAAAACTCACACCCCAGAAGTGACTCAAACCCATACTCCCAGGAGCAACACAACTGGTATCTACAGGACACCTTAATCTGCTTGACCATCACGACCGGAAAAAAGGAAGTGATAGCCGAAGCTATTTGAACCACTTCCCTGCCGGCACTCGGATGGTAATCTTGGGCATAGCATTTTATCAAATCACCTCATCCTTTGGGGCACACGTGAGGAACACAAATGCAAACAAGCCTGTTAAGTTGTTAAGTTTTGTATTAAAGAATGTAAATTTACCTTTAATAATGAGTATTATTTACAGTTTTTTGGAATGCCAATGGGGAATCCTTTATCGCCATTGCTTTCACACTTGTACATGGAATTCTTTGAAAAGAAATTTGTTTCAAAAATTACCCCTGGAATCATTCCATGGTTTAGATATGTTGATGATATTTTGTGTATATGGCCTTCAGATGTAAACACAGACGAATTTGTAGCCAATCTTAATGATCAAGTCACCTCTATAAAGTTTACTATGGAGACTGAAATTGATAAATGTTTGCCATTCCTAGAT